TATATATATATATGTATGTTCTTATAGACACTACTCTGTTTCTGTGTTTTGTTTTTTTTAAGGCAATTGGGGTTAAGTGACTTGCCCAAGGTCACACAGTAAGTGTCAAGTGTTTGGTCTGAGGCCGGATTTGAACTCAGATCCTCCTGACTTCAGGGTTGGTACTCTAACCACTTTGCCACCTAGATGCCCCTTGTTTCTGTTTTTTAATCAAGATTTGGATGAATTTTCCTTTAAAAGTACAGATCTGAAGATTCTTTGAAAAAAAATCTTTGTTACTGTATTTTTCTTTTGGTTTTGTGTCTTCTATTCATCTCTATCACACTATTCAATATAACAGAGGGAAGATTAGGCAATTGGAGGAATATGGTTCCAGAGCCTTATATAAACAATTTTAATAAGTCCATAGCAAAGAAAATTTGCTTTAAAAACTTTTAACTTCTTTTGCAAATATCATACTGTTACACAGAAGAGGATATGAAATATGTTCTCTATGACAAGAAACAGGTGATTCAACATTAAAACAGCATAAGGCAAAGATTCACTTTGTTATTTAAATTTAATGATATTTGGTACATTAATTTTCTAATGCAGGAGAACTATTTAGGTGAATTACAAAAAAAAAATTCAGAGCTGTAAGGGACAGCCAGAAATCCAACCCTTATGTGAAAAGGAATTCTTTCTACAATTTACTAGACAAGTGGTGGTTCCTGCTAGTTCCTGCTCTAAGACCTCCAGTATAAGGGAACCCACCATCTTTGAAGGTAACTTACTTTACTGTGTAAGAGACTGAATTGTTAGGAAACTTTTTCTTCACATGAAGCCCAAATCTGCCTCCCAACAACTTCTGTTCTGCTTATATTTCTATCTTCTGTAGTCAAGCAAAATGAGTCTATCCCTTCTTTAGCATGAGAGCTTTTTAAATATTGAAGCCACCCAAGTCTTCTTTTGTCCTAGAGAAACCTTCTCATTCCTTCGTCTTGATGCTTATATAGCATGGTCTCTAGTTCTGGTACCATGCTGTTGACCTTCCTTTGTTTAGCCTTCAGCCTGTTAACACTTTCTAAAATGCTGTGCTGAGGGCTAAACACAATACTCCAGTTATGGGCTGGGGAATGTAAAGGACCGCAGGCCTGTGGAGTTTGGATGTGATGCCTCGCTAGTGCAATCTAAGATGATATTAAGTTTTTGGGCTGTCATGTTGCATGACAGTGAGCCATAGTTGACTAAAAACCCCAAATCATTTTCAAACAAACTTAATTGGTTATCTTCTGTCCTATATTTGTGTAATTGACATTGAAAACTAAAAAAGTTGAACTTCACATTTATCCTTTTAAAACATAATCTCATTAGATTTAGACCACTATTCTTTTATTGTAAGATATTTCTGGATTCAAACTCTCTCATTAAGATATTAGCTACCCTTTCAAGCATCCGGTGGGTTGCAAATTCATGAACATACTATCTAACTATCTAAGCCGGTATATAAACCATCAATTAAAATATTGCGCAGCCCAGATGCAAGGACATATACCTGAGATAGTTTGCTATAGTCCTCCCTTCAAGATAACACTAACTGAATTAATGAGTACGTTTCACTGCAGCCCTTCAACCAGTTCACATCCATCTAATGTACTATTCCTTCTTGTCCTCTTAAGGACTGAATGAGAAACTCTGTTATATGCTTTGTTAATATCTAGATAAAATCTATGTATAATACCCTTCTCATTGACTGGTCTAGAAAGCCTTTTGAAAAGGACATGGGATTAGTCTGGTAGGATTTACTCTTGAGAAAGCCCTGCTGAATCATTAGCAATCACTAATACCCACAAATATTTATATTAATGATTCATTCTATAGTTTTTCCCAGAGTCCTAGTCAAGCACATTTCCTAAAAGGGACACTCCAATTTATCCCCACCTTTTGAAAAAAAATCATTACTTTTCCATTCTTTTCAGTACAAAGATCATTCTTCTTGGTAGAGATAAAAGAAACAAAGTCTCATTAATTCTTAGTCCTCTGTTCATATGATGCACTTTGAGAAACAGTTCTATTCCTTCTTTGGTCTTTCTCTTAACCTCAGCATAGCTTAAAAGATACTTTTTTTTTTAAGGCAGTTGGGGTTAAGTGACTTGCCCAGGGTCACACAGCTAGTAAGTGTCAAGTGTTTGGTCTGAGGCTGGATTTGAACTCAGGTCCTCCTGACCTCAGGGCCGGTGCTCTATGACTACGCCACCTAGCTGCCCCTAAAAGATACTTTTTAATTGTCCTAATCTTTCATAGTCAGCCTTAGGTCATGATGTATGCAAGCACTACTAACATTATTCTTTGAGGACCATGAAATGTTTTTTTCTATTTATCTCTGTTTCCTGTTCTTTCTTCTATCGTCTGTACATTTTGTTTAAAAAAATCAAAGTTGGTTTATGTGGTACTTGTACTTGAGCAAGGATTTCCTCGGATGATGTCCCTGCCTTTTTGATTCCACACTGGAATTGTTCATTTTTTGAAATATTTTACTTCTCTTGAGCTGATTTTCCTTGCAGAATTTTCAGCTATCAATCCTCTTTCTTATTATGGGGAGCAGGAGAAGGACCATGATGGGGTGGTCACTTCTTCACTCTACTATGTCTAGAGGGAGTTTGGGGCAAGAACTACATCATTCCACATCAGATAGTTACAGTTTAGGGATCCGATGCCCTTTTAGGGTTCAGGATAAAAATCACTTTTCCTGGTCATACAAACAGAGAAGGCAGCAGTTAGCTTGTTCTTGGCCAGCTTAGCTCCTTCTCACAAAACACCTGTTATAAAAAAATAATAATCATGGCTGTTATTGTGTAGTCATTTTTCAGTTATGTCAAACTCTTTTGGACCTCATTTGGGGTTTTCTTAGCAAAGATAATGAAGTGGTTTGCTATTTCCTTCTCCAGCTCATTTTACTGGAGGAACTGAGGTAACAGGGTTAAGTGACTTGCCCAGCCAGGGTCATTCAGCTAGTAAGTGTCTGAGGCCAGATTTAAATTCACAAAGTTGAATCTTTCTGACTTCAGGCTGAGCACTCTATCCACTGTGTCACCTAGTTGCCCCAATTATGGCTAGAAAGCAAATATATTTCTCTAAGAACAGAAATTAGGCAAGTTATACAGATTAAGACAGAAAATAAATAGAAGAATAAGAAGGCTCTGTGAGTGGGGAAAAAGACAAAATCTTAATCCAAACAATAAGAGAACAACCTCACCAGAGAAGTTCAGTGTTAGCAGTCTCTGGGAACGGGCCAGTCAAGGCAATGGCAATCCAGGGGCATATGGGTAGGATGAGCTTTTCCTACATGTCTGTGGTTCTGGGTCTCTCATTGGGCATTCCAAAATTCATGTCTTCTCTCTCATTCCATCTCTCTACCTCTGCTACTTCTTCTCTCCCTCATATAAGCTATTGGAAACATCAAGACTCAAAGTGTTCCACCCAATTAGGAGTCATGGCTCCTCCCTCATATACAGAACTGCCCAAACCTCCTAAGGTGGAGGGGTATCACACGTAAGTATAACACATACTCTGCAAAGTTCCCCTTGACTTCTTATTTCTAAAAATGAGATCCTCAGTCCTCTCCCATTCTTTTTCAGTAGTTCTCAAGCCCTAACTCTCATGTAGTTCACTAAACATGTTCCCTGTATTAATAGATAAGGAAACTGAGGCTCAGAGATGTGGATCCACTTGTACAAGGTTACACAGCAATAATTGTGGGAAAGTAGCTTAGAGATCATTTACTCTATAGAAAGTTTGTCAAAGTCAAACCCATGTCTTCTGAGTCTCTCAATTAGTGCTCTTGATTGAGGCTTTAATGAACGTAAAACAAACTATAATCCTACCCTTCACATCTACCTTTGATTAACATTTAGCAAATTCCTATCAGTCCTAATGCACACAGAAACTGCCTTCAGTTGTCTTTTATGAAGCATTCTCACTGAGAAATCCATGCAACTTAATAGGAATTTGTAAATTGGGTATAGTTTCTAGTAAAAGACATTGCTGGATTTATTTTCTTTAAAAAATGTTAAATACATTGTTTTTTTTTTAATTTTTCGGCAATTGGGGTTAAGTGACTTGCCCAGGGTCACACAGCTGGTAAGTGTCAAGTGTTTGGTCTGAGGCTGGATTTGAACTCAGGTCCTCCAGAATTCAGGCCCGGTGCTCTATCCACTGCGCCACCTAGCTGCCCCATTAAATATATTGTTAATTAAAATATTTCCATTCACCTTAACTAAGAGATTCATATTATACAGACTATACAAATGTATGTATAAATAATCCTGCTTTATTTATGGATAATCCTAACCAAATTATGGAGTAGATATATAACTACTTTCAAGAAAAATGATGAACAAAGAACTAATATAAGTCATTCAATGTTTGTTTTTCAGTAATACAACTGAATAAGAATTTGTCAGGTTAACTTTGGTGATATAATTCAACACACAGTTATTAAGCATCTACTATTTATACTGCACTTGTTGTTGAGTTGTTTTAGTTGTGTCTGACTCTCTGTGACCCCATTTGGGGTTTTCTGGGCAAAGATACTGGAGTAGCTTACCATTTACGTCTTCAGTTCCTTTTACAGATGAGGAACTGAGGCCAACAGGATTAAGTGAATTACCCAGAATCACTTATCAGACACTGATAAGTGTCTGAGGCTTGATTTGAACTCGGGTCCTGCAGATTCCAAGGCCAGTGCCCTATCCATTTCACCACCTAGCTGCCCACACTGTGCTTAGCGGGAGTGATAAAAAGAAAAAGAAGATGATTCCTGCTCTTGAAGAGCTTATATTCTGATAAGCAGCCTATTAGGCTCTAATTTAAATGCTCACTTAGAGAGAACAGTATGACCATGTGTTAGATATATGAGTCACATATTCCAGGTAGTCCAGAGAGTTCTGAAATTGTTTACTTCAATGTTACTTAAGGGTCAGCTAGGTGGCATAGTGAATAGAGCAGTAGACCTGGAGTCAGGAAGACTTGAGTTCAAATTTGACCTCAGACACTAACTACCTGTTCAACCCTGGACAAGTCTCTGCCTCCATTTCCTCAACTGCAAAATGGAAATAATAACAATACCTACCTCACAGGGTTGCTGTGAGGATAAAATGAGATAATATATGTAAATCATTTAGCATGGTGCCTGGTACATACCAGGGGCTATATAAATATTTACTCTTAAAAAAACCCTTCTGAAATGATGAATGATGAAAACTGTTTTTAATTATACTGAAATTTAGCTTACAAAAATCTAAGAAAGTATTGCAGGAAATAATCTTCCACAAACTCTAAATACTACATGTTATATAAAGGCTAGCAAGGAAACTTCAGATGACTTACAACTGCAGCAGCATTGATTTACTTCAATATATAACCCTGCTGACTCGGTCATGGAAAATGCGTCAGAAAAATTTAGAGGCAGTCATTCCATTAACTTTTATATATTAATAATGCACCACAGTAAGCACTTAGCACCCTGTGTATGTGTCTGTGAAGTGGAGCAGGGTGAGGAGGAAGTGATTTGACTGTCTTTCTGCATTACAATAAAAACAAGGTTGAAAATAATTCATGTTTATTATCCCTAACTGTGATAAACCTAACAAGTGAAAAAATTATGGTTTTTTTTATTACATTGATTATTTTTTGGGGGGAGGGAATACACTCCATTAAATCTAGAATGGAGCAAAATTTTGAAAATAGTTGTTTAAAACTGTTTAGTCTCACAGAGACTAAAGCAATTTGGGTCAAAAGATGGGAGGAAGAGCATAAATCCAAGCTTGAGTTATTCCGAAAACACAATAGATGGCTTCCTTCTAAATAAAAAGCAAGCATACTCATTAAAAAAAAAATGTTGCTCCTTAAAATAAAAAAAAAGATTGCTACTAAAATTTGAAGTTATATGGCAGTTTGTGTTAATTTAAAATATCCTTATAATCCTTCTTGTAAATCAACTCAATTTGTTTTGCAGTGAATTTTTCATTACTCAGCTTTCCAACCTGTCATTCGTGTTTAAGATAATCCTTTTACTTTTTTGGAGATGAGTTTTACTTAACATTTGTATTTCCTCTTAAAGGAATAAGAAAAAAGAACCAAGGTGAAGGTGTGTGTGTGTGTGTGTGTGTGTGTGTGTGTGTACAGACACATACAAATGTATGGTGGATAGGATATGAGGATTTTTAACAAGATTTGACCTTAGGAGAAGCTAATACTAACCACAATCTTTAAATAAAAATGAATAAAGCAGTCTCATGGCCAGTACCTATGGGACAGTGAATAACTTGCATTTACCTGTGTTAACCCCTCCTGTGAAAATCCATGCTCCAGTGGTCATGGCTGCCTTGATGAGACCTTTTCCAAAGACTTGCTTGAGTTTTGGCTGGAGTTCAAAGTTCTGGAGGCCTCCATGAACAGAGATGAGGAGTTTGGGGAGCTCAAGCTGCCATTCCTTGGTCATCAGGTGTAGAAGGAGATCAGGTTTTGTGTCAAAGGACACCCGCACATACTGTAAAAGGAAGCATTGTCAAAAAGGGAGAATCATGGCTGAGGCATCTTGTAAGTATGGGTTATTGCTAGAAGGGTGTACATTTTAGAGAATTCAATGTGAAAATACTGATAAAGGTTGAATAAGGGAGTGATTGTTTGTATTATAAAGACAATCTTCATTTTACAAATTTATTGACTTTAAAGAGTGTCCCTTTAAACTGTGAGTTTTAAATGAAGGACCTTTAAAAGTTAAATTGATTTTTTAAAATTCAGAGTAGTCACAACTTTTTAGAAATGCTTCTTTTACAGAAAGACAATGGCATTTAGATTTGATTAGAGGGAGCCTGACTAGAACTTGTAACCATCAGATCAACACATTGCATCTGATTTCCCTTTCTAAATACTTAAGATTCTCCAAAATTTATCCATTCATTTGATAAAAAAATACTTTTTCCTTTGAGTAACTCTTCTAAGAAGAAAAAGGATTTCATGACAGAAGAGTAAAGAAGAATCTCTTTGATTTTATTTTTTTTATAGGCAACTGGGGTAAAGTGACTTGCCTAGGGTCACACAGCTGGAGAGTATCCTATGTCTGAGGCCAGATTTGAACTCAGGCCCTCCTGACTCCAGGACCAGTGCTCTATCCACTGCGCCATCTAGCTGGCCCTCCACTGCACCATCTAGCTGCCCCAAAATCTCTTTTAATTAAACAAATGGTATTTATTAAATTTCTCCCATATTTAAAATGCAGTAAAGAAGATATTTTTTATCAACAAGAATTTGTTAGGAACATACTAAGTGCCAAGCATTGTTGTAGGTATCGAGTAAACAAAGACAAAAAAATGAAGTCCCTGTCATATAGAAGCTTACGTTATACGGGGGGGGGGGAATAACATATAAATGGATAAATATATACAAAGTATATACAAAGTAAATATAATGTAATTTCAGGGAAGCAAGGGATAACTAGTTTCTAAAAGGATGAAGAAATGTCTCATCTAGGAAGAATAAATATTTGAGCTGAGATGGGCATTCTAAGTGGCAAAAGTGAGCATGGGCAAAGTCACAGAGATGGTAGATGGAATGTTGTGCATGAGGATTATTAGCAAATACTCTAGTTTGGCTTAAACATTGAATGCATGGAGTTCTGGTAAAGCAGGCTGGAACATCAGAATATCAAAGACTTTAAAAGCCAGAGGAATCAGTGGTTATTCATGTAGGCAATGGGGAAGCATTTGGTGCATTTTGAGCAGAGGAGTGATATGGTCACAGCTGAGCTTTAGGAACATCATCACTCTGGTAAGTTGTGTAAAGGATGGATTAGAAATAGGAAGGGCTTAAGGTTGGGAGCTCAATTAAGATGCTATTTTAACCTTCCAAGTAAGAAGAGATGGAGACCTGAACTAGGGTAATGGTTTTGCAAATTGAGAGAAGGGAGAGGGAAAATATTAAGGTAGAAACAACAAGACTTGGCAACTGATTGAAAAGGAGAGAAGAGGAAGAATGAAAAGTCTAGGACAGGAGTTTTTAACCTAATTTGTGTGCAGACTCCTTTGGCCGTTTGGTGAAGCCCTTTACAGAATTTTTTTTTAAATGCATACGTTAAATAAAATACATAGGATTACAAAGCAAATCAATTATATTGAAATAAAGTTATCAAAACAAAAAGAAGTTTCATAGACCCCAGGGTAAGAACGATGGATGAGTTCTAGATTGAAAAACTGAAGCTCTGGAAGGTTGTCGGTACCCTTCTCCAAAATTGGGAAGTTATAAAAAAAGTAAACTGGGAGGTTGCGAGGGGGAGATAATTATGTTCTGGTCATGTTGAGCTTGAGATGCCTACGGGAAATCTATTTCAAAATGTCCAAGAAGCAGTTGGGAATGCGGGTGTGCAGTTCAGAAGAGAGACCAGGACCATAAAAACTATATAAATCTGAGAGTCATCTGCACAGAGACAGTATGTGAAATCATAGGAGTTGAGGAGATAATTGAGTGGAGAAAGATTCACAGAGAGAAGAAAGGGAAAGAACACAGAACAGAGCCTTAGGGTATACTCACAGTTAAGGCAGAATGCACAGATAATGATGCAACAATGAGACTCGGAAGGAATGGCTAGAGAGTTCAGAGAATCATATAATCATGGAGCTAGAGCTGAAAGGGACCACAAAGGTCATCTAGAGTCACTCTCATGTTACAGATGAGGAAACTGAGGTCAAGGGAAGCAAAATGGCTTGACCAAGGTTAAATAAATAGGTAGTAAGTGTAAGGGGTGAAATTAGCACCTAAGCCTTCTGATTCTGTAGGCACTGTCATGAAAATCCAGAGAGTATTCAAGAGAAAAGGATAACTGATACTATTAAATGCCACAGAGAGGTCAAGAACAAGAGGCCGTTGGATTTGGTAATTAAGAGATCACTGGCAATTTTGGAGAGAGCAATTTCATTTGTGTGAAGATGAAAAGAGACTGCGGTGTTGAGAAATGAGTGAAAGAAAAGGAAGCAGAGGCAAGTTTTTTCTAAGAAGGAAAAGACATATTGGATGGTATAGCTTGGGGGGGGGGATGGTAAAGCCAAGTGAAGAATTTTGGCTTTTGTTTTGTTTTGTTCTTTTAGAACAGGTAAAACTGGGTACATCGGTAGGCAACAGGGAAGAAGGTGGCGCATAGGGAGAAACTGAAGAGAACAGACAGAGGATGATTGTGGGGACAACTTACTTAAGAAGACAGGAAGAGACAGAATCGTGGGTACGAGCAGAAGAACTGGCAGTGGCTAGGGCAAAGACCACCTCTCTAGCAGAGACCGGAATAAAGGAAGGTGAAAATAAGGGTTGATGTCAAGGGGTTATGAAATGTGTAATAGGAGAGAAGATTAGGCTAAAGGAGAATGACCTTTATTTTTTCAATTGAGTATGAAGCAAAGTCTTTTGTTGTGAGGGGAAGCCAGGGTATGAAGCCAGGGTATGAAAGCCTTGAGGAAAGAAGGGAAGGTTTGAAACAACCTCTGGAGGGAGTAGGATAGAGAATCAACTAGGAAGGAATTCCTAAATTCTGGACTTACTCGACATTGAGGGCCCAGATGAGATGGCATAAATTCATAGTAGACAGAATGATTGTGTGACTCTTTCCACAGAAGAAGGGGTAGGAGATGGAGTTAACCCAGAGTTAGGGCTTGGTAGGCCATTTGTAAGATGAAGGGGCCAAAGCACTGGGGAAGAGAGAACACTGTACAGTTCATCCAAGCAAACTTGCATTTTAGACATCAGGGAACTTTAGTTGTATTATTCAGCATTCTCAAAAGTAGTATGCTGTTTTGTGTTCTGTTCTGCCTTGATAGGAAAAACGTAAAATAAAGTTTTTTTAAATTGAAAGCATGCTTCATTATCTTCACTGATTAACTAGTAACAGACAAAAAATCAGGTGACAAATACTATAGGCATTTCCCATGCCCATTTTATTAAAAAAAAAAGTCTTTTCAAGCGTCAGAGCAAAAAGGCCCCTTTATTACTTCTAAAGTGTCTCTTCATATTCTTCTATTAAGTAACTCTACAAAGAAATTTTTAATGAAACAGCACCATAGATTTAGAACTATAAGGGTCTATGGAGGTCATCTAATTAACCCTGCCCCCAATTCTTATATTCTTACAGATGAGGAAACTGAGAGAGGTTAATTTGGCACTTAAATCACCAGGCCTTACAAATTCTATTCACCAATATTTGCAACATGGTGAGCTAAATAATTGATTTTTGATTTTTTCCCCTAATTTGCCACTTCTAATGTCAAACTCTTCTGTCTCATCCAAAGTAAAGAAAAAAGTCCTTTGACGAGCTCCAGATTATTTTTTTCTCTGAAAAAGTAAAAAAAAAAATAATTCAAGATGAAGAGATACTTCTGAAGGGAATATTTTTTAATAAAGTCAAATATTTTAAAATATTCTAGTAATGGTTAATGCATGTATTTAAAAAAAGAGAGAACGAGATTATATGAGAGCAAGGCAATAATACTGAATTGCAATAAAAGTAGCTGTTTGTGGCTATCAGATTCTAAAAACATGGCATAGCACTCCCCATAGCTCATTTGATTTAACTTTGCAAATAATTTGTGTTTCTGAGTCTATAGTTGACATCTCAGAACATTAATTCAGGCACTGGCATAAATAAGATCATCTAGTGTGAAAGGAGGTTTTAATTTAAAATAAATCACTGCAGACATTGAAGCAATTACAGGATTTTCCTTGCTTTTCTAATAAATGGCACACACTTTTTTATCCCTGAATGTGAAATATATGTTTGTGTGTATATATACATATATATGCATATATATATACATACATACATACTTATATACACAAAGAGATTTTAATAACTCTTGCTAATTGTTCCCCTTCCTCAGTACAAATTATCCAGAGCTGACTATGCATTTTAGAAGAAACTGTTAGACAAAGGAGAGAGTCTCATCAGTGGGGTGTCTCACTTGGTGAATAATTCATACCCAAAGCTTCTGAAGTTACTTGGTCACCTTAGCTATCAAAGGAACCAAAGGGAGTTATTCATTAACCATGATGAACAATTTACCAACTAAGATGAATACCTGAATAACTTTCAATATGTAGTTTAAAAGAAATATCTGATAGGCACAAAAGCAAAGTAGAACTGCATTTCAGGGAATCCACAAATCTATTCAGGGAATTTGGGTGAGGATAAAAGGAGAAAGAAACAGAAGTAATACTGCTGTGGGGCTGTCCTGTCAGGTGGAAGATATGAATGATGCTTTCTTAAAACAGATCATGAAATTGGCGGTAGAAAGAAATAATAGTATTGGAAGACTTTACCTGTCCAGATACCTCCTGGAAGTCTCATTCAATCAAAAGCAGATAGGATAAAAACCTTGACAAGTTCTGTAGACAAATTCACTCTTCAGAAGGTAGAGGAAGTAAAGAGGAAACTAACTTTGAACCAAATTCTGATTAATAAGAAAGAATTTACTGATGAATTAAAAGTCCTAGAAACTTGGGGACAAATTG